ACTTTTTAACAGTTTACTCAAAGATTTCCACATAACTCCCAAAATACACCATACAATTGTCCCTTTTTCACTGGTGCTGGCACTGAAGTCCACTCTGATTTATCACCTCATCTTAGCGAAACCAAACGAAACCAAACAGTAAATTATAATTTAGTCCTACCCAAAAGCAAACTCTGCTACACGTTCTTACTCCAGCACACAAAATTTCTCATAAGATGAATAGGTCTCCAAAATTGCACAACTGAAAATTTACTGAAAAGCAAGTAACAAGCACACACATTTCTGAATTCAATTACAAGCAAAAACAAACAAAAACCCTTTTATTAGAGTTAAAATAATGATTTTAGATATAAATTTTCAATTAAGGCCTATTAACCTATCTACTTCAAAATTACCAATACAGACACCTATCCATTTAAAAAAAATGACTATACTGTGCTGCTGCTTTTTTGCTGAGCAAGAGAAAGACTAAAGCCTTGGAAAAATGCTGAAAATGTTAATGTTTTAAATGTCTCATATAACATTCAGCTTGGAATATAACAACTTTGCTTAATCAGTTTCAACCTTCAGGACTAAGCACAGGACTCAATGCAAAACAATATATTTCAAAATAATATATGGAAAAATGCCTCAGCATGAACTTTTTTTTTTCCCTTTCTTTTAAGAGTTTTCCAACCATCATACCAGAAAGTCCATTCATCTCTGCTTAACATGCAGTAAGAAGTCAGCAGTCGCATGGGGCAGAAGCCCAGCACCAGTTTATATCGTGCAGCACTGCTCCTGCAGCACCATCCCTTGTCACACACCCTGATCAGTCTTTCTGCAGGGATGCTGGCCATCACTTGCACTGCACTGCTCCCCAAGCTAATATGCTTTTCAGTTTTAGAAGATAATAAATTGCAAATCCCATCTTCTTTCAGTCCTCTCCTTGAAAACTAAATCCCTCGCCCATAAACCACTTCCACAATGAAGCAATTTCCCAAGACTGCACAGCTGCCTCAAAGGTGTTACATCCAAACTCTTAGGTGCAGCAAGTTTCCAAAATCCAGCAGAAAAGATTCCCAAACAGTTTATCTGTCATAGGCAGACATTAAAAATAACAGTGGGTGTGGATGTGCTGCTTTCCCAGCCCTCTCCCAACTGCATGCACTTCCACCCCCAACTTCTTTGCTGGTTTTCATGCAGATTTGTGCCAGACACTTGGCATCCTCATTAAGTGGTGTCTGGCAAGCTGCCTAAGTTTTAGTGGGTTCTGGGAATGCCAATATATTAACCAGAGGACTGTCTGCATGCCCTAAAGAGATTTTATTCAGGAAAAGTCAACCATTTGGCACAAAGAATGCTTCATTCAAATCTAGGAAAGCTCTCCACTGGCAAGAAGAAGAGAAATTGCATTTACGTTCTTCCTAATTTCTGTCTCCTATCTAAAAGAAGAGTTTGAAGGAGAGCAAGATCGTTTAAAAGGTCAGAGTGCTGTCTGTAATAGGATTTTAGGGAAAAAGAAGGCAGATATGAGCAGCACAGACTCAGCATCACATCAAGAAAATGATTCATTTTCATTCTATTGTCTCTTATGACCAAAATAATCTTAATCAGGAAGACTGAATTTAGCTACTATTATGCTGAGCAATAATGAATGGCAATACAGGTACTTGCAAATCTCCATTGCTTTCAGCGAGAACAAGCATTTAGCAAAATGCACCTACACTTAGCATCTTCCAAATATACTAAATCTAGGCACATGCTACTGAAATGCATACATTAAATAAATATAGATGATGAATACAGAGGCGTTTTGTCAGCATGGAGAACAGAAAACACCGTGATGCAGCCATCGTTCTTACCAACCTGCAGGCTTCCTTCCCACTGCAGTCTCCTCACAGTTGCTATCACTCAACTGACAGTCTCAGAAGTAAGCACATAAAGCTCCTCTCTAAAATAAATAACATATTTTTCTTTCAAATAGAAGGTTCAGAAGAATGCGAAGAAAAAAAGGTCAACAGCTTTCCTTCACCGGAATATTCTCTTGTGCAGCACATAGGAAAAGTTGAAGGACACCAACAAATGTGTCATTACTTTGTTCCAAGATTGTTTCTGCAGCCTTATAAACCTAGAGAATCCCATTAATTTCAAGAAGTTATTCAGCTAATCGAGTACTCTGCTATCATTTAGACACTGCTACCCACTTTTACAAAGAAATTATTTTAAACTGACATTTACTTCAAACCCATCATTTTGATTTGTGCAGAAATTTGCTGGTTTCCTGACAGCAGCTTCAAAATATCACGATCCCTTTATAATGACTAATTAGCACCAGAGAGTTAACAAGAAATCAATTAAAATCAGTTCAGTTTAAATGTTTTAGTGTACATATTAGAAGTCTGGCAAAAATAAGATGATGTTTGGTGGGAAAGAAATTTTTAGCTCTCTGGGCTGCATTTGCTTAGACATCAACCTTCTAGGCAACACGGCTATCCTTAAAAATAGCTGTCAACTGAGAGAAGAAAATGTGCACGTATGAATCATTTCACTACAGGGTTGGATTCCCAGCAACCGATGCACCACTGTTCTGGCATCGGTGCCTGTGCCGAGCAGCTGATACTAGCTTGGTGCCATTGAAGAATTTCACGGTTACCACAGAACCAATCTGCAAAGAAATTCATCTCCAAACTCCTAGAAGTATCTGTATTCCCTCTCCGGCAATTCATTTGCAAGGAACTACTTTAAACTATTGGGAACTACCGGCAGAAAGAAAACTTTTCCGAGGCTGCTCAGAAGTTCAATGCAAGATCCATTCCTGCCAACGTGAGACCTGGTGGGTAAGCACGTGCTTTTTAATGCTTCATTTCTCTCAACATTAATTTAATTCAATATAACCTCTAGGATGCCTTTTTTTTTTTTAAATAAAAATGTACTTTTTTTTCTGGCACATCATATTCTGAAAGGACTTTCAATGATTTCAGACAGCATCACTTAAGTGCAAGCAGCTCCTGTTGGCAGGGCAGCAGCCAGTACAGAAGGTGCTGGAGGGCAGCTGGGAAAAAGAAAACTAAATTTTGGACAAGAAAATGAAATGGAAAACTCTCTTCCTCCAAAAAAAGAAACAAGAAACAAGGCCTGCTACCTCCAGTGAACAGAGAACTAAAAGCATCTTATCTTCACAGGTCTCAGCTTGAGGGTTCTATGCAGAGAAAACATAATTTTATCTATTTAAAGCCCATCATGGGGCAGGTTAACTCTGAACTGTTCGGTTTGGCTACTGGTTGGCAGTCTGCATCTTACTAAACTCAGTCCTCATGTGCCTCAGCCTTGAATCCCCATTTCTTCCTATTTCTGCAACATGCATTGAGGGCTGAGCTCCAGCTCTACCAGCCAGAGCTGCCCAGTGCCCATAATGTTTCAATTAACACAAACTACTGCTTTGAAATATCTGGTCTCACATTGTTAACCCATCCTATGTTACACATTTATCATCATTTCAGCCTGCCCAGATATCTTAACTTGCTGGTGAATACCAATACGTCTTTATGCGAGCGCTGCAATGGTCTCCAGATATCAAAGAATCAGAATTAAATACGCTGATATAAAACACAGGATATTTGAAAAGATGTGTTTTCCCTTCTGTACGTAACGACGTGCATTTGATGCATTCCAACCCAAACTCTCCTGGCTCTGCTCGCCCCACAGATCACGCCAACCAAATGCCTGTTGCCAGAACACCAGCACACACGCTCAGAGCACCATTACTATCTCAGTGAACGTAGACAAAAGGCTGTGAACATAGATGCTAGAGGACTTACCACCAGCACGCTGCTCTTCCAGCAGGCCTTCCCCTTTGCTCTACAGCCACAAAGCCGCAATATTATTATATTCTCATTAGCTGAAGCAGACACGTGTGCACCACACACAGTTATTCATCTCCACTCAAAGCGCGCAGACGTTACTTAAACACTTTTGGACTGTTGCAAGGAGTGCAATTCTCTGAGCCGTCACCCCAGCAGTGAAGCCGCAGGGCAGGGCAGCAGCTTCGTGCTCCAGCAGCACCCAGGGCTGAAGCCTGGAAAGCCAAAGGCGCTTTGCAGAAGGGCTCACCGCTGTTCTCACGCAGTGTCCACGTCCTTACCTCATCCACGCCCTCCTTGCCGTGGAACCTCTCCTTTCTGGGGCCCTCAGGGGCGAGGTGCCGCACGTGCTTCGCTCTTCACACCATGCGCTGCACCTTCCCGTTCCCGCGCATTTGACGCAAAAGTTTTTGTGTGCCAGAACCGACGAGCTCTGAGATTTCCTTCCTGACAGGAAGGTACCTGCTTTCAAACCCGCAGGCTCCTACAGCACCGAGCGCTATTTCCAGCAGCACACGAAACCGCTCACCAGACCGCTGTCCTCCTGCACAGCCACCAAATAACCGCACCGGGCTCACAGCCTCCCCAAGAGCCAAATCCCAACAGAGCCTCTATGCATCAAAATCATACGCCTCCACGCAAGTATAAACAAAAGGCAAAAAAAAATAAAAAATAAAAATAAAAAAGTTATTTTTGCACGTTGCCCGTTTCCTACCCTTTCTCCCGAAGCCCGGAGCCCCGCACAGCGGCACAGCCCGCTCCCAGCGGCACGCACACCTCCGGGCTGCGCGCACCGCACGCCAAGGATGGAGGCGGACGCGACGGATTTCAGAACTACGTTTCTGCGGATAAACTTTAACCGAAGCCGAAAAGAAAAGCGGTACGATGACACGCGGGTCACCGGAGAGCGCCCGGCCGCCGCCCGCCCCGTTCCCTTCCCGTAAAAGTTGTCCGCCGGCACCCGGCCGCTCCCCGCCCGCCCCCAGCCGCGCCGCCGCCGGCCGAGCCCCGCGTCCCCCCGCTACCTGTCAGCGGCACCGAACACCTGGGGGGCCGCCCCCAGAGGCGGGCGGCGGGCGGCGACGGGGCCGCCGGAGCCGCTCGCCGCCTCCCCGCTCCCGACCCCGGGGCCTCCCGGCACTTTCCGCCCGCACTCACCTCCCCCCGGCCCCCGCTCGGGGCTGGCCTCCCGCGGGGCGCCGCGCCGCCTCCCTCCCTGCGCGCAGGCTGCGGCCGCGGCTGCCTCCAACTCATCCCAGCCCCGCCGCCGCCGCCGCCTCCTCCTCCTTCTCCTCCCCCCGCCCTGCCCGCTCCGCTGGCTGCCGCCTGTCTGCGGCGAGTCTGGCTCTGGCGGCCGGGCGCGGGGCCGCCGGCGCGGAGGAGGAGGGAGAAGGGAGGGAGGCGGGCGGGGAGGAGGAGGAAGCGGGGGAGGGGCGGCCGCGCTCCCTCCTTCTCTCCCTCCCTCCCCGCCGTCCCCTCCCCGCGGCGCGGCTGGCAGCTCACAGCGCCCCCTGCCGGGCGGATGTACGCGGCGCCGGCCTTCCCCCCGCGGCCCTCCCCGCCGTCGGCGCCCCTTCTGCCTCCGCCCGTCTGGGGCTGAGATGCTGGGAGCGGCCCCCGAGTCCTGCTTCCTCCGCGCCTGTGGGAAACAAGGAAACTGAAGAGCTGGGGGAGGCCAGGGCTCAGTTTTGTCCCGTGCAGAATGAAATTTTTCTGACATTTAAAAAAAAATGTTGCAGGACAGGAAAACCCAGTTCGAGGCGCAGCCTGACAGGCTGAACCCAAGGCAGGAGCGCGCCCTGCCCGGGAGAGCTGAGGCTGCACGCACTGCAGGCACCATCCGGCTACACCTGGCCGAATGTTCCTGTGCCCAGCAGTCTTGCTCTCTGCCCCCATTCACCTTCCCTGTCTCAGCAGACAGCCCTCGAGGCTTAGGGCTGCCATTGGGTTTGGCCAACTCAGCCTCAGCTAGGCCAAGCCTGATGGCAGCACACCTAACAGCCACAGGTTGGGAATACGTGTAGATGTCCAAAGACATCTACACGCCATCCCCACAGGAAAAATATATTTGAAAAAAATAAATCTCTATTTCTACCAATTCTTATGTCCAACCTCTATTCCCGTTCCCACCCATGATGCACATTGAGAAGACTTTCCACTTCATAGCTGAATCGAATGAATAGCAGCTCAGAGTGGGGAACCCGATTAGCTCTGTTTCCAGTTTTAAGTGTACATTCTTAACACAAACACACTCCTGAAGTTTCAGTTCATTCCCTTACTGCCTTACCTTGCTCCTGGAGAAGAGGATGGGCACCCAGGCCCCACAGATGGTGAAGGCCACACTGCAGGCTGTCAGGTGTGACAGGAAATGGGGGACCACTGGATTCATTCCAGAGCAGAGAAACAGCAGTGAAGGACAATTTTAGCAGACATATTTTGGATTAATCAGCAAGGAGCCAAAGGAGTACTAGCTGGCACAGGAAAAAAAAGCTTCCAGTAATCTGAGGGATACATCAGGGCTACATGCCCTGAAAGTTGCAAAAATCATCCAAAGTTCACAGGGTTAACATTCACTACACTGAACTACAGTCTGCATTTTACTGACAAATCGAGAGAAGCTTGATTTCAAGTTTGCTTTGTAGTTTGCAACCAAGAATCAAGTGCTCAATTTCTAGGTGTCCCAGCAACCTGTACGTATGCGGTCCACCACACCTGGGTTTGACACACTGTGGTTGTGCTCCCTCAGCATGGAAAACAAGAAGACACTCACTTCAGGCAGAGATTCTTGCCATGTGCAAAGTCACACCCCCAGCCCACAGAAAAGTTTGCAGAGCACAACAGAATTACCATCAAGTACCAAACCACCCCTATACAAAACCTCAAGAGTGGAAAAAAATGCCTCTAGAAAGGAAAGATATGGGAGAGTAGATTAAGAGGACTGTTTTTCTTTACTCTCACACAGAAAACTCATCTGTTATCGTGATAACAGTGAATATCTACTTTTCCTTGAGTGTGCCTCTGGCACATATGGTCCCACATGAACTGGTGTAATCTATTAGAAGTTCTGTAGTGGACACGATTATACTTGTAGTTATCAATTCCCGTGAACTGGAGACTGGAGGTGCTTTATTTTTTCCAGTCCTGGTTTGAAGGGATTTATGCCATTTCTTCATAATGCCCCAAAGTTACTTAAACAGATTAAAAATGACTAGTTTAGCTGCTGCCAAAAAAAAGAATTGTCTTTTATGAGTATAATTCTCGTCAGCTAACAAATATGCACACTGTTGTTGTCTCTTCTCCTATTTTCAAGTTTTCTTTTTCTAATTCCTGACAGGTCCATATATCTTCCCAAAGTTTTTAAATTTAAGTTTGAAATTTTGTTCTAAAATGCAAAATTGCAGGACATACGTGTCATCTTCTGAGATGAAGCAAACAAATTTTTACTTAAAGGTTCACTAATTTGCATGTTTATAGAAAACTGTAATGGCAGAAATTGGAATATTTGGGGTATGTAGAAAGAGGATAGCAAAAACAAACAAACAGCAAAAATGCACATAAAGTGCTATGCTTTATATTGATCTATACCAGGAAATTGAACCAAAGTTATCACTCAGTACTGCTGGTACACTTTTTCACATCTGAGACATCCCTGGAAGGGACAAGCTGACGCTGAACATATTGGCACCTGCCAAAGGACAACAATGCCTCAGGTTTCTCAATTATTTTACCTTTTAATCACTACCTCCGTCATTTCCAGGTTCTGTTCAGTGTCTGGATAGAGTACAGCTCCACTTCAATATGTCTGAAGAACATCAGCATTTCTGAAATGTAAAGAGAGGGAGTCAAAGAGGAGTGTTAAGATTTTTATACATCAAAGGAGATGCTGGAGCTGTGCAGACGTTTCTCTCTGAAGAGAATCCGAGAGCGAGCTTGGGAATATGAGGAGACATTTCTTATTTTTTTTTCTCCAGATAACAAGTCTCTTCTGGGAAAGCAATACTCACATTATCATGATACTGGATTTTCATACCCATGAGGTTGCGTTGGCATCCTGGCGGCATTTCCTGGACAAATAAGAGAAAGCTCCTATAATTGATTTAAGGTATAGGCAAATCTGTGTATGATTTCCTTTCTTTTCTTTATCCCTTCTTTATCCTAAACAATATAGTTATGGGTTTTAGTTACTGGTGACTCATCTTGGTTCCCACCAGGAAGCCACAGACCAGTGTATTTCAACTGATTCCTATTATCTGCTTCACAACAAGAACAAGGAAGATAAAATTAAAAACATTCAAACCACAGTAACACAGCCAAATAACATTTGGGCACATATAATAAGATAGCCTTACTAAAGTATGTGCAAAAAGCATGCTACAAGTAAAACAACACCTTAAACAAGTTAGAAGATTTTTCAGTAGGGCTTTTTACCCAAGAGGTCACCACGACTTATCTCCCAGACAAAAAATTCTTCAGTATGCTAACATCCAAAATACACTACTCAGACAAGCCCCTGGGGTAGGGAGTGCTGGATTTGGTGCATTTTGTGCTCTAACACAAAATTAACAACAGACAGAGCCCTCAGCCTGAACTGAACTCCAGAGTAGGTGCATGGTCTTGCTCTGCACCTCGACACCCAACCAGATATGCATAGATGGATGGGGCTCAGGGGGCTCCCTCACCACACAGAGAGCTCTAGGATCTTGGCTGTATTTCTCATGGTGTTGATGGTGTGTAGTTGTGCTCCTCCAGGAGTTGTGTTCTCTCTGCTAATGACCACTTTGTCTGCCTTCTTAAAGAGGTGTTAGGTATTACAGCAGTGACATGAGAGGGAAAATATGTAAGGATATAAGTAAAGGCACAAAAGAAAGATTATTTATAAAAAAATATATAATATTGTAAAAAGATTGTTTGTTCTAGTCATTCACTGAAATCATATACCAACTACTTTGTTGTTTCCAGGTGCATGCACACAGGCTCATTCTGCAATATGTTCTTCACCAATTCCACCCACCCACCTGCAGGCCTCTCCACCAGGTGTCAATCTCAGTGTTAGATAATGACACATATCTTAAGAGTCGCTTTGGTTTTCTTGTTGTGCAGGATCTAACTAAAAAGGTTTGCACGCTAAATAAAATGTAAAGTCAGACTGAAAGTCTGTAAGAATATTTGGATTGCATCCTCAGGTTTTAACAAATAGGTAACGTTAGAGAGCATAAGATTTTGGACAATAAAAAAGTTTGAAAGGACATCATTAGATAAAGTCATAATCAAGAATGCAAATGTAAAGTCCAGACTACAGCTCTCCTAGCTACTGTATACAGCAAGTAATCCTAGAGCCTGGCAGAGACTTGGCAGTAAATCTCAGTTGGACACACATTCTGTAGCTCCTGTTGAAGTTTCAAAATCTTTAATGTTGGCCAAAATGACATTTTAGAAGACAGCACCAATGCACCAGTTGATTTAAACCTGTAAAAAGCAGTGGATGAAAAGCTTCGACAACTATTAATGTCACAGAACTCATACAGAATTGACACACAGAGAGGACAACTGCCACCTCCTCTTTTTCCTAGGCTTAGTTGCAAAGTTGATCCATTGGGAATGCACATAGACCAGGTTGCCACATCTACCTTTAGTTTCTGATAAATCAGCCAAGAAGGCTATGATGTGGAAACCTGGCTGCAAGAAACCAAGAGAAAGGGACAAAAATGAGATCATATCACAAACTAACAAATATCACACGCACTACATTAAAGAGAGAGACTGTTAAAAGAAAGAGGCAGAATGGCAGAACATCTATCAAGATATAGATCAACATCCTATTATACAGAGCCAATGGTGTACGGAGCTATGTGATAATATTTGACCATCAAATGAGAAAGAATACTTGTCTTAACCTGGCTATTCCTCCCTTTTATTAAAAAACAAACCCTCAAACCATTTTTCTTTGAGTTAGTAAATCCTTACAAAACGTACCTACTGTCTTATGAGGCAGCACAGATTGAAGGAATGGAATCCTAACCTGAAGAAGTTTTTGACAGCATTTCTTTAAAGTAAAAATAGTAACAACAGTTCTGAATTGATTCCCTGACTTGTATTTGAAATACCAAACTGTCTAGTTTTCTGGAATGTTGATAACAGTACCACATTAAAATAGAAAGATATTTAATAACTTCCATATGCTTTCACACTGATCTATCTTCGTTACAAATTAGTCAGTACATTTTTCAGATGGGGGGAAAGAAGTCCCCAGTATGTATGAGACTAATGATAATAAAATGCTATTTCCAAATCTCTCTTAGCACTAAAGCATTTTGGACACTGCTTCAGTAACTTAGCGTGTGAATTAATACATAGGATGAACTAGAAATTTACGTCAAGT